ACAGTTTTTTGCTAAGATTTTAAGCTTCCAAAATCTACTTAGAAAAGGAATATAAAGCATTAAACACTATCCTCATATCACTAAATGTAAGTTAGGATAATACTCTTCAAACTTGGAAGGTAGTTACTACAATAAGCAGATTTATAAAAAACAGGATTAGTAAATTCAAAAAGACTGAATTTTTAACAGTCTTAAACATTAACACAGTATCTCTGAAGTAACATGTTGCCTCAAGAGGGAGGGAATGTTTAGAGGTAAATGAGCAGAAGAAGGCTGGAGATGCAATCCAACTAAGAAACAAGTGACCCATCCTAATTATCTCTGATAGCAGATGCTGCTAACAGATGCTCTCACATTATGCTGCAAAGTACAGCTGTGAGAACCAGAAATAGATACCAAAGATGCTAAACTCGAAAAGAGATACTTGAGATATCAGTCTAGGCAGACAAAGCACATTTCTTCCAATCACCTCTGCATTATGAAGCAATCCAAACATACACTAAGCCCTTTTGCTTAAGTTGTTAATTTTAAGGCTTCACAGCTGTTGGCAGAAATAGATATCAAGGATTATTAACAGATGCACTAACCCTAAGAAACAGTTTATTCACATCATAGTTGTAGTATGATGACAGCTACTTTGCCTTGCCTCATTTACCTTAGCTAGTCTCCGGTCAACAGAATTGTACAGAAGAGAGTAAAAGCTACTTGGAAAAAATCAGGGAAATAAAAGCATTTTGAACTGCCCAAGAAGTTTTACATTACAAACAAGAAAGGAATTACAATTTACTGAAGTATCTCAAGGGTTATTGCTCTTAGAATTTTTTTCCTGACGTAGGTTCAGCTTTTAAGCGTCACAAACCATGAAAGCCTGAATAAAAACCAGCTTTAAGATATCTGTATCTGTTCAGAAGTAAACCTAATAGCTAGAGCAAGACAAGAGATCAGCAGGAGATCTGCACATCAACAAACTCACAGAAGTATAAATAGCCTAGTGCAAACTACAACTTTCTGATATTTTCAGGATGCTAGAAATCTCCAAGGGCTATGCATAGCACTCCATCTTTCAGAGTAGCATCTAACTTTTTGGCATCTGATTTATTTCAGGTTCTACCAACTACAAGAGTACAGTTGTAGTAAGGAAGAAAACATCTACTTTCCAGACTCCAGTCTTTTGATTCAGTGAAATATTCTAGTGTTAATACCTGCTATAGTCTTTATCAACAGCCAGAAAAAACACCACTGAGGTGCTCAGCCTTTCCACATGGCTGACGTAATTCCAACCACCACCAGTGGGAATGTTTCTGTTGGTTTTTACACTGGCAAAACTGGTGTAAACCAGCTAGGCAAAATTATAATAAGCTGGACTCATAAATGCTCTGAAGAAAATATTTTGCCAGCATCTACATTCAGTGGGCCATCACCAACGCAAAAGTAACTGAAGACTTTCTAGAAGACACAATTTTTTGTGATAACACTTAAAAGCAACGAGAACAAAATGACTACAAATCATATTTTCACAACTTTTCAAGTTCCCTTTAGGAAAGTCTTTGTACACAAGTAATGCCCTGCCCATGCACCAGAAAAGGAAAGAAGCGATACCACACCCCACCCCTGAGAGCACTGCAGTTCTCAGTGACTGCTTTTAGAGGACAGCAACACGAAACTCTTACTGGACCACAAAATATCCATGCAGCCTCCAATATCAGTTAGCTGAAAACAGATGGCAGCGCAGAGAGTCACGGTCCCTGGAGAGCTCACTCATCGAGCCACTCTAACTCAAAAAGCTTTCACTTAGGAAAAACAACAGTTCGGTTACCTCTGTATCCTAGCCGGGACAGCAGGAGACAGCAGTAAGGACCATGGGATCATGATGGCTGATCTCTGCACGTCCAATAGGACACTTGCAGCCTACAAAAAACCCCAACCTTTAAACACTGCTTTTGGACGCTCACCATTTCGGATGTTACCATCCCCTAGACGATACTTCCCGCCGAAGCACAGCCGGGACGAGCGGGACCCGCTCAGGCAGCACGGCAGAAGCCCCACCAACACGCCGCCCTTACTGCCCCCATTTAAAGGCCACCCCTCCGGTGCCACACCACTCCCTGCCAGCAGGCGGAGGCACTGCCACCCGGCTGGGACCCGCCACCGGTTCAGGAAAA